TATTATTTTTTTGCAAAAAAATATCTAAAGTTATTGGTGTACAGAAAATTATCCTCATGCTATTTTTCTAATGAGCGAAAAGCGATAGACTAAACATAAGGGGTAAAATTGTGTGTACCAGTGTTATTCGAGAAGTTATAACACTTTGGTCTGCACGACATAATATGTGAGCAAATGACAAACAAAAAATTACTGTTCACAAAAAAAAAAAAAGAGTTAAGATGTGAGGACAGCATTTATTATCCCCATAACCCAACATAAAGAGCTGCAAAATATTGGTAGTAATATAATACATGGCAGCTTATATAACACATGAGGTAACTGCCTTCTCTCTTGTATTAGGTCGCAATCCTTGCTCAATGTGGCGCCCTTCATTCTCAAACACCGCCTGCAGACGATAGATGACAGAATGGATAGCATTAAATAACATATCTGTCGAAATTGATAAAACTTGCCATCTGATAGAAGCCTTCAACATGGCCAATGTGGTAGGCCGGCATCGATAAACACACGATTTAATGTACCCCCATAACAAAAAATCGCCAGGCGTCAAGTCTGGTGATCTTGGAGGCCACTGGTATATAAAGTGGCGACTTATCACACGATTTTCACCGAACGTATCTTTCAGTAATTGTTTGGCAACTCGGGAGATATGAGGAGGTCCTCCATCTTTCATGAATGTTATTTCGCTTAGTGCTTGTCTGCCCTGCAATATGCAAAACCCCTTTCTCTCAAAAGTTGAAGTTAACGTCACCAGTTACAAAAACGGTTTTAAAAGTTCATCCATTGACTTTTTTCAAAGATAAATGGCCCATTAATAAAAGAAGAAGTGAACCCAAACAAAACTAACTCTGGGCTGATGCAGTGCCATTTCTGTAAAAGTCCTAGGGTTTTCTGTTGCCTAAATACGGCTGTTTTGAATGTTAAATTCTTCGTTTAGAGAAAGGTGAGCATCATCTGTCCACAGAACATTCGACAGCCAGTTTTCATCAATATCATGCAGCGAATTCTTGACGCATCTCAAAATCGCCAACTTTCAGCTCGTGAAATCTTTGAATTTTGTATGGGTACACACAATAGAGACATTAAGTGAAGCGTCTTCGGATATAACAATCATACTCGGCGATTTTAACGCCAAAGGTTCATCTTGGGGATCACCTGTCCAGGATAACAAAGGTCAGCAGGTTGAGGACATGCTAACCGAACTCGACCTTACACCGTTAAATAAGGGAGAGAACACCTATATATTCAAGTCCACAGCCACAGAATCCGCAATAGACATCACAGCGATAAATTACAACATCGCACCCACAACACAATAGAAAATTCTGAGAGGTGCAATCAGTGACCACAGACCAATTTTAACAACCCTAAACCTCAAAATTGAGAATGTCCAACAGAAAAAAAAAATACATGGAACTTCAGGAAAGCCGACTTGAAAAAATTCACAGAAAAGCTTGAAGAACTGTGCAACGAAGAATTGAATTACAGAACGCTTGACAAAAACTTGGAAAAATTCTCTTCGAACATATCCAAAGCTGAAAAAGCATCGATACCTAGAAGGTGACGTAAAGACCTGTTTATACCTTACTGGAAGGACCACAACATCGAGGCAATGATTTCAGAGAGAGAGACAATATCAATGAACTTCTTAAAACAAATAAAACAGAAGAAAGCAGAAAAGAACTCATTGAAATTATTCACAAAATATAACAAGAAATTTGGATATGCAAACAAGAAAAATGGCAGAATTCTGCGAAAAAATGGATCCAAGAAAGGACAGCCAACACTAGAATATGATTAGAGTGTTAGAAAACAATCAAAACCAACACCAATCCTCCAATTCTCTAACCGATATGAATAGAACAGCGAGTACGAACAAACAGATGGCTGATATAATTGCTGAATATCTTTCAAGCACTTCCAGACTCAACTACACGAATGAAGACAGGACTCTAAAAAATAATATAAACAAGTTATTTAAACAGGCAAGAAACTACCATCAGCAATATATTTTCTCGGGAGACTTCACACTGAATGAGCTAAACTCGTCAATAGAAAAGTTAAATCCAAGAGGTCACCAGGAGATGATCTAATATTTGGTCAAATTATTAAACACTTTGGAGACAAAGCTAAAATTCAACTCCTATGAATACTGAACATAAATGGCAAACTGGTAAACTACCAAAGAATTGGAAGATATCAATTATAGTGCCAACTAGACGAATGGCCCGGGCAACGCCCGGGTTTTACCCGAGTGCGTATATATTTTAAAAATGTTTTAATTCAAAAACTATTCGTTACAATTATAAATTGGCGCCATGGATGTCACTCTTGTGAAACGTCCCGTTCCAAACTGTGTGTTTATAAAATGTTTTAATTAAAATACTATTCGTTACAATTTTAAATTGGCGCCGTGGATGTCTCTCTTGTGAAACGTCCCGCCCCAAACTGTGTGTGTCTTGAAAATATAAAAATAAAAATGTGAATTTTCATAAAGATTTCATCATGTCGATTTTTTTTTGCATTTCACCTACTAAATCGATAGAGATAATTACATTTGCAACATGAACTTAGGTATATTGACTAAATAGAAAACTGCATAGTAATAAAGATCATTTTTTAAAGGCACCATATCGTTTTTTTTTAAATAAAATCGAAACAAAAATTAACGATAAATAACGATAATTACCTTAAAAAGAAATTGCCTTAAAAAAAAGAAACATTCGCGGTGATTTTGTCTTGCATTCGTTTATACAATTATTATATACGAATGACCCGGGCAACGCCCGGGTTTTACCCGATTAAATGCTTTTATTCAAATACTATTCGTTACAATTATAAATTGGCGCCGTGGATGTCATTCTTGTATAATATATAAATGAGTTTTAAAAATTGTAAAAAAAAAAAAAAAATGCATCGGCCGGGAATCGAACCCGGGCCGCCCGCGTGGCAGGCGAGCATTCTACCACTGAACCACCGATGGTTATGAAAAATCCCATCCGTGAGCTTCAGACAGACAAACAAACAGACAGAATAAGGCAAATATATAAGTAGATACTGAAACCAAACAAAGATGCCAAGGAATACAAGAACTATCGGCAAATTGATCTCACCAGCATACTTTGTAAAATAACAGAACGAATTATCCACTCTAGGCTCATAGTCTGGCTCACTGACAATAATAAAATAAACTTCTACCAAACTGCCTATAGATCCAGACACTGTACAACTGATTAACTCACCTACTTCTGTCAATCAATAATAGATTTCTAGGAAAAACCGCCAAAGAAGACAACGGCCGTATTCCTGGATATGACCTCAGATTTTGATCGAGTGTGGAGGGAGAAATTACTTGAAAGGCTGCACAACATCGGAGTAAGAGGAAAACCTCAATCTGGATTGCAGACTTCTTAAGGGGAAGAAGGATAAAGGTTCGGGTCAATGGAGATTGAAGATAGGTGCCAGGATAGTACCTATCAGGGTGAATGAGGCAGTGTCAACTTGCTTCAGGTGCCTCAGGCCCGGTCTTTCGCAAGGACCTGCGAACATCCTAAGAAGTGTGGGAGGTGCGAGGTCGTCCACTCCCAAGAACAGGGATGCGATATGAAGCCGGGTTGTTGGCTCTTATAAGAGGACAACAAGAGGTACAGCAGGAATAATCATCGCCCCCGGAGTACGCAGTGCTCGGTGAAGGCCTGGTTCGTGAACGGGAGGCGATGGTAGAGGGGCCAAACAAGGTGTGGAGGTTCGTGCAGCTAAATTGCGCTAGTTCGAGGAGGAGCTTCGAGGAGCTAGACCGGATCATTAAAAGTGATCGCCCTCATGTTATCCTGGTGCAGGAGATGTACCTGGAGGATGATGGGAGGATGGGTCTAGATACTCGTTACAGTTTTTTCTCTAGCGAATGCAACAAGGCCGCCTTACTGGTCCGGGGAGATCTTCCTTGTTTGGGTTGTTGGTCCTGGGAGGGGGCGGTGGCTGTATAGATCGAGGCGGCGGATCTAAAACTGGTCTGCCTCTCTACGTACATACCACCTCAGGACAACGACCTCGGTAAGCTGGACTTCCTAAATGATTTTTTGGTTGGGAAGGAAGGGCACGAGATCGTGATTGGCGGGGATTTTAACGCGCGCACCTAGCTGTTTGGAGACAGGGAGGAAAATTCTAATGGAAAGGCGCTGGTCGATCTTGTTATTGGTCAGAGTCTGGAGATTTGGAACGTCTATGGAGAATCGACGTTTGCTACGGCAAACGGTGAAAGCATCATAGACTTCTCCCTGGCAAGAACGAGCAGGATGCGGCGTTTGAGATGGGAAACGGACCCCACGGATGTAAGCGACCACAAACACAAACTCAAGAAATTGGTTTGGCCAAATATCAGGGAACAGGCTGATTCAATAATTAGTTGATTTCTGTTCCACCAGATGGCGCTCTGCCTTCTGAAAAGTACATGTGCTCTTGGTCAGGATTTGCCTTTTTTATTTTAATATATATGTAAATATTTAATTAAAAATGCATATACTGGAACAAAATATCATTTATTTAACCAATATTTCAGTTGGCTGAACGCCAACCTTTATCAAGGTATTAATATGTTATAATACCTTGATACCTTCAGCCAACTGAAATATTGGTAAAATAAATTATATTTTGATCTAATATATGCATTTTTAATTAAATATTTATTTATGGATTGATTTGTTTTGCATATTTTTCATTTATAAAATAATCTCATAATTTAGTCTGTGAAAATAAAAATTATTGGACCGGTGACGAAAACAAAACTGAAAATGGTTGGCTTAATGTTATGTAGTTACTTGACGAATGGCCCGGGCAACGCCCGGGTTTTACCCGAGTGCGTATATATTTAAAAAAAAATTTAATTAAAATACTATTCGTTACAATTATAAATTGGCGCCGTGGATGTCTCTTTTGTGAAACGTCCCGCCCCAAACTGTGTGTCTTGAAAATATAAAAATAAAAATGTGAACGAAAAATATGTCCAGGGTAGCCTAGTGGGCATGGCATCTGCCCGGTAAGCGGAAGGCCGTGGGTTCGATTCCCATCCCCATAGTATCTTGCCACAAACGAAGATTTGTAAATAACTGTATTTAGCGAATGTACCCAGCTTCGTACAGTTTTTATCCGAGTAAAAGTTTGCCTAACGAACATTTGTTAAAACGATTCTAGAAAACATCCAATCCACCTATATTTTGATTTATAAACGTATATAAATATAAATATTGTTATATGCGATTAAATATATTTTTGAAACACATAATTTTTTGAAAACATTTATTATATCTATATATATATAAATGAATGTATGTGTGTGTGTGTGTGTGTGGTCTGTCTGTCCTTTATGCCTGACCAAACCACTCATTGAAACGCCATGAAACTTTGGGAAGTTATTTAGTATAGTACTGGGAAGGTTTCTAGCAAATAAAATTTTTGAAATAACTTTTCGCCTAAAAATAATCAAGATAAATATTCTAATTTATCTGTTATAATTCAACAATCTGCTCTAAATATTATCATGATGATACGATGATTTTGTAATGAGGAAAATTAGGAAAGACAAAATTCAGGATGACACAGCAATTTATTTGAGACAAGAATAAAGATACAATTCATAGGCAAGATACTATTCCTTTAACTTCCAATTACCGAGGGAACCAATTAATATTGATTTTATTCAACACATCGAGTACTTTTAAAGGGACCGGGAAAAAATGTTCACTTTATCGAGAGATTCGTTAGACAAACCTTTACTCGGGTAAAACCCGGGCGAAGCCGGGTACGTCCGCTAGTTTTAAATAAGATATTGTCACTTTTGTGAATTTGATAATTAATTATCTCTTTTTCTCAATGAATTATATATATTAACTAGCGGACCCGCCCGGCTTCGCCCGGGTTTTACCCGAGTGAATGTTTGTCTAACGAACATTTGTTAAAACAATTCTCTTTAAACTTATAAAACGTACTCGGCTTCGCCCGGGGTTTTACCCGAGTAAAGGTTTGTCTAGCGAACATTTGTTAAAACAATTCTCTAAAAACTTATTAAAAAATAAAAAAGATATATTTTGATAATTTGAAACTCGTAAATTTGAATCTCTCGATAAAGTGAACATTTTTTCCCGGTCCCTGTGTGCCTTGTCATCCTGAATTTTGTCTTTCCTAATTTTCTACATTAGAAAATCATAGTTTTATCTAGTGAACCTTTTTTCCCGGTCCCTTAAGAAATACTCGATAAGTTGAATAAAATCAATATTAATTGGTTCCCTCGGTAATTGGAAGTTAAAGGAATAGTTTCTTCGCCTTGGAATTGTATCATTATTCTTGTCGCAAATAAATTGCCGTGTCATCCTGAGATAATCTTACTTTTGATAAATAATATTTAAGATAACAAACTTAGTGATAAGAAAACTTGTTATCATCGTCACAATGGGGGCGCTGCTTTTTTTTTCAAAAACCTTCCCGGTGATATACCTAATAATACCTCAAAATTTCACGGCGATTGGATGTATGGTTTTTGAATCTATAGAGTACAGACAGACAGACATTCAATTTTATATATATAAGATAATATAAAAGAGTTTTAAAAATTGTAAAAAAAAAAAAATGCATCGGCCGGAAATCGAACCCGGGCCGCCCGCGTGGCAGGCGAGCATTCTACCACTGAACCACCGATGCTTAAAAAAATGGCCATATTTAGGTATTCATTCCATTCCGGATTAGTCCGCGTAAAAAAAAGTTCTTCAAATGAAAAAAAAAAAGATATAGCCAAAAATACTAATCAAAATGCAGCCGAAATTTTTCCTCAGGTTTATAAAAAGCGACATGCAAAATATGGTACCAATTGGTTCAGTAGTTTTTGAGTTTATCGCGAAACAGACAGACAGACAGAAATTGACTTTTATATATATATATATATAGAGATTTACTCTTCATTGTTGGCTTTTTAACTTACATTCATTCTTCATTGTTGGCTTTTCATATTACATTCACTCTTCATTGTTGGCTTTTTATCTTACATTCACTCTGTTGGCTTTTTATATTACATTTACTCTTCATTGTTGGCTTTTTATCTTACATTCACTCTTCATTGTTGGCTTTTTATATTATATTTACTCTTCATTGTTGGCTTTTTATCTTACATTCATTCTTCATTGTTGGCTTTTTATATTACATTCACTCTTCATTGTTGGCTTTTTATCTTACATTCACTCTGTTGGCTTTTTATATTACATTTACTCTTCATTGTTGGCTTTTTATCTTACATTCACTCTTCATTGTTGGCTTTTTATATTATATTTACTCTTCATTGTTGGCTTTTTATCTTACATTCATTCTTCATTGTTGGCTTTTTATATTACATTCACTCTTCATTGTTGGCTTTTTATCTTACATTCATTCTTCATTGTTGGCTTTTGACGTGACAACGTCTTAAATTAGGTTGCGGCTGGGAGTCACTTATGAAAAAGTGTAACGCCCGGTAACGTTACGATGATGAGTCATCGAACGAGAGTGCTGCGCGCGCAGCGCTAGAGAATTAGGTGCATTGAATCGGCGCATGCTTGTCTCTGTCTTTGTCTTTCTCGAACGTTCTTGGCGTTGGAAAAACAAGAAAGCGTCATAATACAAGTTCACACGTGTGGTTAAAGTATCGTCAGCTGTGTCTGTAGTGAAAATGTGGAGTGCTTAGATTCGTCATTTACAACAACTACAACAATAAAGGTAAATAATTGCACACTGATATTTCATTATCGTAAACTATGATTGATTGATTAATTGTTAGATTGACACAAAAGTTGAGAAACTGAGTTTATAGGGTATGTCATACTATTGATAAATGTTGATAGTGTTAAGTAAATTATTTGTTTAAAATTAAATAATTAATTAATTATTATTTTACAAATTTTAAATAGTTTCAAATTTATTTAGCAAAAATTTGAACCTTCGATCTGAATAAATGTTTTGATTTTCGAATTGATTCCTAAAAATTACAAATATTAAGAAAAAGTGGCAGATATAAGAAAAGTTTATTTAAACTGTGTTGAGCAAGAATTTTAACATCTAATTTAAGTAAATGTTTTAATTTTCAACTTCATCATTTACAATTACAAATTTAATTTGATTTCAAATTTATTTAGCAAAAATTTGAACCTTCGATCTGAATAAGTGTTTTGAATTTCAAATACCAACGCGGCTGGTGGAGTGGCGATCTATCGTAAATTATCATCGACATCTACGGCGGAAGTGTTCCAAGTTGCGATTACAGACGTAACTCGTGTCATTAAAACCAAGGGTGACATGTGCATGACTGAAGTTACTTGCTTCGCCGCTAATACTAGCTTCAAGTTTATACTCGGTGCTGTATATATTCATCCAGGAGCTAGTATGCAGGATATTGGAATGTTACTATGGCAAGGACTCGGTCCGTACATTCACAACAGCCAGTACGTGCCACCGTTCGTGCAAGTTGATTCTAGTATACCGATTCTTCTGTGTGGTGATTTTAACAAAAACGTAAAGCCTGACAACTCGTTTCTTAATTTCATGAAAAATACGTATAATCTTGATTGCGTATCAACCGTTTCTAAGTCAACTACGTTAAAAGGAACAACTATCGACTTGACTTTCGCAAGACACATTACAGCAGAAACACTTCCTTTCATTTCATATTTCTCCTATCATCGTCCTATCCTCAACAAAATCACTCAAATAGGAATTAGTTAAGTTTAAGTTTACATGTACAATGTTTTAGTAAACAAAATATATTTCTATAGTTAAAATTTGTGCAATTCTTATTTTCATTCAATTCCTTGTTCCTATTGTGCAATTTAAATATATTCATATCAATAAATATTCTACCGTTGTCACGTAAAATCTTCGCCCGTAAAACCGACTTTACAGGCAACCATTGTTTTTTTTATCTTACATTCATCTTCATTGTTGGCTTTTTATATTACATTCACTCTTCATTGTTGGCTTTTTATCTTACATTTACTCTTCATTGTTGGCTTTTTATCTTACATTCACTCTTCATTGTTGGCTTTTTATATTATATTTACTCTTCTTTGTTGGCTTTTTATCTTACATTCATTCTTCATTGTTGGCTTTTTATATTACATTTACTCTTCATTGTTGGCTTTTTATCTTACATTCACTCTTCATTGTTGGCTTTTTATCTTACATTCATTCTTCATTGTTGGCTTTTATATTACATTCACTCTTCATTGTTGGCTTTTTATCTTACATTCACTCTTCATTGTTGGCTTTTTATATTATATTTACTCTTCTTTGTTGGCTTTTTATCTTACATTCATTCTTCATTGTTGGCTTTTTATATTACATTTACTCTTCATTGTTGGCTTTTTATCTTACATTCACTCTTCATTGTTGGCTTTTTATCTTACATTCATTCTTCATTGTTGGCTTTTATATTACATTCACTCTTCATTGTTGGCTTTTTATCTTACATTCATTCTTCATTGTTGGCTTTTTATCTTACATTCACTCTTCATTGTTGGCTTTTTATTAATATAGAAAATCATAGTTTTATCTAGTGAACATTTTTTCCCGTGTCACATTGCCGTGTCATCCTGAGATAATCTTACTTTTGATAAATAATGTTTAAGATAACAAACTTAGTGATAAGAAAACTTGTTATCATCGTCACAATGGGGGCGCTGCTTGCGAGTTAAATGTACAAATCTGCAAGTAACTCTAAGGATATTCAAGATATTCATGAAATTATTTTTCAAAAACCTTCCCGGTGATATACCTAATAATATCCCAAAATTTCACGGCGATTGGATGTATGGTTTTTGAATCTATAGAGTACAAACAAACAAACAAACAGACAGACATTCAATTTTATATATATAGATTTAAAATTTCATTTTTTTTATCATCATCACATGCAATGTATTTTTTTTATATAAACAAACGATAATAAACAACAACAATTTGTAGTAGCCCGTAAAACCATATATCCTCACAACAACAATTTGGGGCTCAAAAATCATTTATTATGGTTAGCAGCTCCGTAAATGAAGATATTTTCACAAC